AAAAGAAACAATCATAACCTAAAACATTTTTTGAAAAATATACTGAAATATGTTTTTTTTCAAAGCCAAGCCATTAAGAAAGGGGACCTGCACAATAGATTTTGCAGAGGATTGGTTTCACTCACACCACTCCAAGCTGAATTGCTGGAAAAAAAACATTGAATTGATCTATGGGCTGGATAGCCCTCAGGGTTGTTTTGAACTATGGGCTGGATAGCCCAGGGTGGTTTTGAACTATTGGCTGGATAGCCACCAGGGTGGTTTTGAACTATGGGTTGGATAGCCCTCAGGGTGGTCTTGAACTATGGGCTGGATAGCCCCCAGTGTGGTTTTGAACTATGGGCTGGATAGCACCCAGGGTGGTTTTGAACTCTGGGCTGGATAGCCCCAAGGTTGGTTATGAACTCTGGGCTGGATAGCCCCAAGGTTGGTTATGAACTCTGGGCTGGATAGCCCCAAGGTTGGTTATGAACTCTGGGCTGGATAGCCCCAGGTTGGTTATGAACTCTGGGCTGGATAGCCCCAAGGTTGGTTATGAACTCTGGGCTGGATAGCCCCAAGGTTGGTTATGAACTCTGGGCTGGATAGCCCCCAGATTGGTTTTAAAGATGTACAATAATTTGGAAAACTGCAAACCTATATTCAAAAAAACAGACACCTAAAGTGCCAATTTTGTTGACAAAAATCCAAAAATGAAAATCAAAGAAAAATAATTTTATAGCAAAAAATAATTGGAGACCAAAAATCACATGACATCACATGATGTCACCTGATATCCCCTGATGACCCCTGATGACCCATGATAACCCATGATGACCCATGATGACCCATGATGACCCCTGATGACCCCTGAACACCCCTGAACACCCCTGATATCACATGATATCACCTGATATCCACTGAAGGGAGGTGATTTGTGAACAAAAAATGAAAAACTACACAATAAAAAACAAAGGTGCAACCATGCATGCCTTAAAAAAGGAAATCACATGTCAAATTTCCATGGCTCCCCAAAAAAAACAAAGCCATCAACACAATGGATGGCAATGTTGCCCTCCCACCTCAAAAAAACAAACCATCAACATAATGGATGGCAATGGGACCAAGAAAAACAAAGCCATCCACAGATTTTCTGGCAATGCAAAATTTTGAAAGACCAAACAATGGAGTGCATGTTTGTACATGGTGTAAAAAAACACAAAGAAAAAATGAAATTTGTTTTGTTTGTTTAAACAATATAGATATATATATATAGTTATATTATATTTTTAAATATTTACAAAACAAAAAAGGATTGAATACACATTTTTTGAACCAAACATTCAGAGGCATAGCTCGAAAACAACAGCAGCCACATTTGACATATGCAGGCATTCAGGCCCAACAGTGTCAAGCTACAGTTTTTCAAAACAAAAGCCATGAAGAGGCCAGCCTGCAAAAGGCCAGCTGCCCAAGAAGAGAAAGAGGATGAGGCACCAGAAGGGAATGTGAGTGTAAAGCTGACAGCAGCAGCAGTGAAAGACCACAACAAGTTTTGTGAGGAAGCCAAAGACATGACTGTGGAGCAGTTTGAGCTGGCTTTGGCGAAGATGGATGGGAATGCCAGCATGAGGCTGTGGAAGGCCTTTGAAGTCCAGAGGAAGTCAGATGGTGAAGAAGAAGGCTACCAAGCAGCCACTTCCAAAGGGACTGGCAGTCTGAAGAAGAAGAGGCAACTGCTTTTTGGCTGGATCAAAGATGGAGGAAAGACAGGGGAATACTACAGAACTTGGATGGACACAGTCTCCTTGAAGAAGACCAAGGGTGTCACAGAAACCTGGCTAACCAAGCACCAGGCATTGGCGCATTGGGGCCCTGAAGAGCTGAAAGACAGAGTGAAGACAGGGTCCATTCCGGCAAGGAAAGACCCAAGTGACAAGAAGTTTTGGCAGTTCAGGGCCCTGACAGAGTCTGCCAAGACAGGGGTAGAGAGAGTGAAGACCTCTGGGACCAGCAGCAAGAGCAAGGCCAACCTGGAAGCTCTCCAAGCAATGAGCAAGTTGGAAGGCTTGGAGTCACTGACTGAAGAGGATTTTGTGCCTGGCTTAGAATCTGCCTCTGAAGATGCTGAAGAAGATGGAGATCTGCAAGAGCAAGAAAGAGAAAAAGGAGAAGAAGGAGAAGGAGGACAAGTGGGAGACTATGTCCCAAGTGGAGGAAGGTGCAGGTGGCAAGGACCTTCAGAATCGGCTGGTTGCCTTCAAGACTGAGATCACCAAGGACATGGCCAACCTGGAAGCCCTGCTCCACTCTGGCAAGGGTGCCTTGGGCAAGGCTTTGCAGAAGGATGCTGAGAAAGTGGTGCAAGAAGGGCAGGCTGTGCTGAAGGAGATTGGCAAAAACATTGGATCAGCAAAGAAGGCTGCTGTGGCCACAGTGCTGCAGAAGGCATTGGCAACACTGAAGCAACTCAAGGCCAAGAAGCTGCAGCTGAGGAAAGCTGTGAGAGCTTAGGAACCCTAGACTGCTGCAGAGACCTGAGAAAGACACTGCCTGAGGTGAAAAAGCTGCAGCACTTTAGCCATGGGCTGGAAAGCCTTCTCTTGGCAAGGATTGTTTTGTCCATGGGCTGGATAGCCCTCTCTTGGCAGCTTTTTGCACATGGGCATGGGCTGGAAAGCCCTAGTTAGGCAGGTTTTGTTCTGTCCATGAAGTGGAAAGCTGCTTCTTGTTTTGCCCAATGGGCTGGATAGCCCTCTCTTGGCAAGCTTTGTTTTTGTGCATGGGCTGGAAAGCCCTTGGATTGCACCATCAAGTGTTAGCCTTGCATCCTGCAAGGACATTTCTGGTTCAAAAACAAAATGGAAGACCCTTGCCCACTATGGAGCCTCCTTCTCAGGAAGTTTGCGATGGGAAAGATGAGTGCAATAGAGGTGCAGGAGGTGGCCAGTGCAGCTGTCAAGTCAGGTGCTGCAACAGCAGAGATGGTAGAGCTTCAGAAGCTTGGTGCCTTTGGCCAAACCAAGGGCAACTGCCACAGAGATCTCATGAGAAAATACTTTGGAAAACTGGAAGCACCTGACCCTTGGAAACAGGCTTGCCTGCTGCAAGTGAAAGTAGAAGGGCAGCTGGAGGAAAAGATTGTGGATTCTTTCCTGATGCTTCCACACCAATGGACCTTGGCCTTGGAATCTGCTGAGATGCTGGCCCCTTTGACATGCACAGATGAAGAGCTGAGTATGTTTTGGAAAAGCCAAAAGAAGAGTCCACAGATGTCCCTCGCTATGTGGAAGTCTTTGGATTTTCACCACCCAAGCACTTTGCCAGTGCCCTGGTGCTTGCATGGTGACTCGGCTCCTTTCACTGAAGCAGACAGCTTGCAAGTCCTGTCAATGAGGTGCTTGCTGACCAAGAGACCCATTGGAGAGTCCCAGCTCTTACTGACTGCCCTTCCCAAGGCAGCACTGACAAAGGGAGGCTGGCAAAAAATGATGGAGACTGTGGCCTGGAGCTTCTCATGCTTGGGACAAGGAGTCGCTCCCAAAAAAGATGCAACAGGAAAGACAATGGAAAAAGAAAGGGGAAAAAGATTCAGGAAAGGATGGCTGTGGGCCATCACAGGAGATTTGGAATGGTTTGCATCAGAGTTTGGCTTTCCTTACCCTGGTGCCAACCTGCTTTGCCCTTATTGCCAAGCAGATGCCAACTTGACAGAGAGCAAGAGACCTTTCACAGATATGAGACCTTCTGCCAGCTGGAGAGAAACACTTTTCTCTGAGGACCAACTGCAGAAGAAGTATGGAGGCCACCCTCTTTTCAAAATCAAAGAAGTGAGAGTCAGCACTGTGAAGCTAGATGTGCTCCACACATTGGATCTTGGTGTAGCAGCATACATGCATGGCTCAACCTTGGTGGAAATCATGAATACCTTTGGTGGCAGAAGCTACTTGGCCTTACTTCAGTTTTTTCAACTTTGGGGGAAAAGCAAGCTTTATCACCATGCATGAGAAGCTCAGCCAAAACTGCTCAGGAGAAGCCAACCTCCAAGCTTTGAACAGGTTGCTGGCCAGGCTCTATGAGGAGCATGGTGTGGAAGCAGGAAAAAGAATGAAATCTCTGAAGCTGACAGATGTGCAAGCCAAAGCAGAAGACTACCCTTGCCTGAGACATGTCAAAGGTGCCAAGGTCAGAGCTTTTGCTCCCATCTGTCAAGCTCTCTGCAACCTCTACAAGGAGAGCAGAGCAGAAAAACACGGACTTGCCATGGTTGTTTCACTGAACAACCTGTACAAGATGCTCGACATGCCCTGGGCACAATGGAGTGAGAAGGTGGGCATCGCTTGGCTGCAAGAAATCAACAAGATGATGAGCCACTACTCCTTCTTGGCTGGCAAAGCCATGACTGATGGACTGCATCTCTACAGCTTGACCCAGAAGCACCATGTTCTTCTACATCAGGGAGAGCAAGCCAGATGGCTACACCCAAAGACTACATGGTGCTATGGATCTGAAAGCTTCATGGCAATTGCAAAGCAGATGGGAGCTTCCTGCACAAGAGGAACACCTGCTCACATGGTGACTCACAAAATGTTGCAGAAATTCAGGCTGCTGTTTCACCTCTACATGGAAGGCCACATCAGCCTCACAGAAGAAGAGCCAGAGGAAGAGGAATGAAAAGGAAGTGGCCCTTTCATCATGGGCTGGACAGCCCCTTTCATGGCAACCCTGCCTGATGAGTTTCTTTCATCATGGGCTGGACAGCCCTTTCATGGCAACACTGCCTAATGAGTTTCTTTAATCATGGGCTGGACAGCCCTTTCATGGCAACACTGCCTAGGGAGCCCCCTTTCACCATGGGCTGGACAGCCCCTTTCATGGCAACCCTGCCTAATGAGTTTCTTTAATCATGGGCTGGACAGCCTTTCATGGCAACACTGCCTAAGGAGCCCCTTTCATCATGGGCTGGACAGCCCTTTCATGGCAACACTGCCTAAGGAGCCCCTTTCATCATTGGCTGGAGAGCACACAGACACACACACACACATATGCAAGTATGATAGTTAAAAAAATTGCTTGAAAAAGTAAAAAATCGATTGAAATTTCGATTGAAAAATCGATTGAAAAATAGTCTATACTTTTCGCATATTTCTATTGATTTTTCGATTGAAGATTGAAAATTCAAAATATTGAAAAAACGATTGATTTTTTTCAATCTTCAATCTTCGATTGAAATTTTGCAATTCGATTGATTTTTTTCAATCCAGGATGCTTTGGGCTGCGGTCGTTCCGGACGCGATTGCTTCCTCCTCTGTTCTGCAACGAGTGGTTGTGTCATGTTGTGTCTGCGTGCGTAGTTCTATGCGTTTCTTGAATCTGCGTTTGCAGATCGCATTGGAATGGCTGCATGATTGTTGTCATGCGTAGATACGTGCAGGTTTGCGACTGATGCTGCGAAACGCATTGCAATGGCTGCATGAATGTTGCATGGTGCTGCGGCTGCATGCGTAATACTATTGTCTTGTGCAGCTGGCTGGATCTCGTAAATCGTCTTGGAGTGGCTGCATCAAGGCTGCAAAAGTGATTTGTCAGCAGATTTTCTCAAGTTTGGTGGTGCTAGTAATTCCCCACCTGCCAGGTGAGGGTTGTTAGATTTTATGTCAGTTGCCTGGTCCTCCTCCTCCTCCTCCTCGTCCTCCTCCTCCTCCTCCTCTCCTCCTCCTCTCGTTGTCCTCCTCCTCTCGTTGTCCTCCTCGTCCTCCTGCTCAACTGCGACTCGCGATCCACAGTGTTCTCTGTCGGACCTCAACCACGACCATCCACACCCAGTGTTCCCTGCCGGACCTCAACCACGACCATCCACGCCCAGTGTTCCCTGCCGGACCTCAACCACGACCATCCACGCCCAGTGTTCCCTGCCGGACCTCAACCGCGAGTATCCCCGCCCAGTGGTCCCTGCCGGACCTCAACCACGACCATCCACGCCCAGTGTTCCCTGCCGGACCTCAACCGCGAGTATCCACGCCAAGTGTTCCCTGCCGGACATCATGTAGGAAGATATGGGACAAAGAATGTGCAGAAGAAAGTTAGAAAGAATGTCAGAAAGAATGTCAGAAGATATGCCAGAAGATATGCCAGATAGAATGCCAAATAGAATGCCAGATAGAATGCCAGAAGATATGTCAGAATATATGCCAGAAGATATGCCAGATAGAATGCCAGATAGAATGCCAGAAGATATGTCAGAGAGAATGCCAGAAGATATGCCAGATAGAATGCCAGAAGATTTGCCAGATAGAATGCCAGAAGATATGCCAGATAGAATGCCAGAAGATATGCCAGAACATATGCCAGGTAGAATGCCAGAAGATATGCCAGATAGAATGCCAGAAGGTATGCCAGATAGAATACCAGATAAAGTGTCAGATAGAATGCCAGAAGATTTGCCAGTAACAAAATGTATAAATGTCTTGGTGGGGATCACACGAAGTAAAGTAATTTTCCTTTCAAAAGTTTTTTTTTCGCTTTGGTGTCGAGCTCCGGTTTTGGAGCTGCAATTTCCGACGCCGTTGTGCGTAGTTCTATTGTGTTTTGCAATGCAGTGTCTGCAGATCGCATGGTAGTGGCTGCGTCAAGGTTGCTTAGTGCCGCGGCTGCATGCGTAATACTAGTGTCTTGTGCAGCTGGATCTCGTAAATCGTCTTGGAGTGGCTGCATCAAGGCCGCGCAAGTGATTTGTCAGCAGATTTTCTCAATTTTGGCGCTAGTAATTTTCCTTTCAAAAGTCCTTTAAAAAGTGTTTCAAAATCGCCTTTTTTCACTTTGGCGTCGAGATACGGTTTTGGAGCTGCAATTCCTGTTGTGATTATGTACAAGAAAGCTTCTCTGTGTAAAAACTGTTTTTTCCTGTGAAAGCTTCTCTGTGTGTAAAAGCTTCTCTGTGTGTAAAAGCTTCTCTGTTTAAAAAGCTTGCTGTGTGTGTAAACGCTTGCCATGTGTAAAAGCACTGTGTGTAAGTGTTCTGTGTGTAAACACTGGCTGCGTGTGAAAGCTTGCTGTGTGTAAAAGCTTCTCTGTGTAAAAGCTTGTTGTGTGTAAAAGCTTCTCTGTGTGTAAAAGCTTCTCTGTTTAAAAAGCTTGCTGTGTGTGTAAACGCTTGCTATGTGTAAAAGCACTGTGTGTAAGTGTTCTGTGTAAACACTGGCTGTGTGTGAAAGCTTGCTGTGTGTAAAAGCTTCTCTGTGTAAAAGCTTCTCTGTGTGTAAAAGCTTCTCTGTGTGCAAAAGCTTCTCCATGTGTAAAAGCTTCTCTGTTTAAAAAGCTTGCTGTGTGTGTAAACGCTTGCCATGTGTAAAAGCACTGTGTGTAAGTGTTCTGTGTGTAAACACTGGCTGCGTGTGAAAGCTTGCTGTGTGTAAAAGCTTCTCTGTGTAAAAGCTTGTTGTGTGTAAAAGCTTCTCTGTGTGTAAAAGCTTCTCTGTTTAAAAAGCTTGTTGTGTGCGTAAACGCTTGCCATGTGTAAAAGCACTGTGTGAAAGGGTTCTGTGTGTAAACGCTTGCTGCGTGTGAAAGCTTGCTGTGTGTAAAAGCTTCTCTGTGTAAAAGCTTGTTGTGTGTAAAAGCTTCTGTGTGTAAAAGCTTCTCTGTTTAAAAAGCTTGCTGTGTGTAAAAGCGTCTCTACGAAAGAGCTTGCTGTGTGTAAAAGCTTTCTTTGTGCAAGCTTTGTATCACAAAGTAGTACTGGAACGTACTTTGTGCAAGCTTTGTGGTACAGAGTAGTACTGGGATGTGCTTTGTGCAAGCTTCGTAGTACAAAGTAGTACTGGGAAGTACTTTTTGCAAGCTTTGTAGTACAAAGTAGTACTGGGTGCAAGCTTTGTGTAGTACAAAGTATTGCTGGGAAGTGGTTTGCGCAAGTTTTGTAGTACAAAGTAGTACTGGGAAGTATTTTGTGCAATCTTCGTAGTACAAAGTAGCACTGCGAAGTGCTTTGTGCAAGCTTTGCAGTACAAAGTAGTACTGGGAAGTGCTTTGCGCAAGCTTTGTAGTACAAAGTCGTACTCTTTGTAGTACAAAGTAGTACTGGGAAGTGCTTTGTGCAAGCTGTGTAGTACAAAGTAGTAGTATATACTGGGAAGTGCTTTGTGCAAGCTTTGTAGTACAAAGTATTACTGGGAAGTGCTTTCTGCAAGCTTTGTAGTGCAAAGTAGTACTGGGCGCGACTTTGTGCAAGCTTTGTAGTACAAAGTAGTACTGGGAAGTAGTTTGCGCAAGCTTTGAAGTACAAAGTAGTACTGGGAAGTAGTTTGTGCAAGCTTTGTAGTACAAAGTAGTACTGGGAAGTCGTTTGTGCAAGCTTTGTAGTACAAAGTAGTACTGGGAAGTATTTTGTGCAAGTTTTGTAGTACAAAGTAGCACTGCGAAGTGCTTTGTGCAAGCTTTGCAGTACAAAGTAGTACTGGGAAGTGCTTTGTGCAAGCTGTGTAGTACAAAGTAGTAGTACTGGGAAGTGCTTTGTGCAAGCTTTGTAGTACAAAGTAGTACTGGGAAGTGCTTTGTGCAAGCTTTGTAGTACAAAGTAGTACTGGGAGCGACTTTGTGCAAGCTTTGTAGTACAAAGTAGTACTGGGAAGTACTTTGTGCAAGCTTTGTCGTGCAAAGTAGTACTGGAAAGTGCTTTGTGCAAGCTTTGTAGTACAAAGTAGTACTGGGAGGTATTTTGTGCAAGGTTTGCAGTACAAAGTAGTACTGGGACGTGCTTTGTGCAAGCTTTGTAGTACAGAGTATTTCGTAAAGACTCTTCTGTGTAAATGCATCTGTGTCTCAAGCCGAGATGAGTTGAGATTAGCTTCGGTGAGATGAGAAAGGTTGAGCTGCGCTCAGATGACATGAAAATAGCCACGAAGAACTTAGCTGACATATGTATGGGAAGACACGAAATGAGATGAGAAGAGCTCAGATGAGATGAGTTGAGATGAAGTGCAAGCGTGAAGTGTGGAGTGTGGGGTGTGAAGAGTGCAATGCGACGTGTGAGGAAAGTGTTTGCTTGGCGTTGCATTGCGCCGGGGTCGCGCGCAGGTCGTGTTCTTAGACAACAACACCGCAACAGCTTCGCACAAACCACGCACGCAAGGGCCTGGCTGGCGCACGGCGCATGCAAGTTCTCGAAGTAGTACTGGGAAGTGATGCATGAAAGCTTAGATGACATATGAGAAGAGATGGGATGAGAAGAGATGAGCTGGGATAAGGTGAGAAGAGCTCAGATGAGATGAAGTGTGGAGTGTGAAGAGTGCAGTGTGAAGTGTGGGGCGTGAAGAGTGCAGTGTGAAGAGTGAAGAGTGCAGTGTTAAGAGTGAAGTGTGGAGTGTGAGTGTGAGGAGTGAAGTGTGGAGTGTGAAGAAAGCAGTGAGAAGTGTGAAGTGTGGACTGTGAAGTGTCAAGTGTGAAGTGTGGAGTCCGAAGAGTGCAGTGTGAAGTGTGGAGTGTGAAGTGTGGAGTGTGAAGCGTGAAGTGTGCAGTGTGAAGAGTGCAGTGAGAAGTGTGAAGTGCGAAGTGGAGCTTCAAATATGATATGTGAAACAGGACACCACTTTCACAGAACGCACGCACGCACGGGCTTGGCTGGCGCACGGCGCATGCAAGTTCTATAGATGAGAAAGGTCTTATATATCCCTAAG